TCCTTCCCAAAGAAGCCATTGGCATTGTCGAAGAGTGAAGTTCTGTGTAAGCTTCTCTAGGGAAATGGGATAAAAGACAGTAAAGAAGATGATGCTCTTTTCCCACCTTTAATAGATTAGCGCCACTTGGTCATCTTGCTTGTGTACACAGTTGTTGTCTAAAATCTTTAAGAAAAAAGGAGTCCCGAAGACACGAGAAAAGCAAACGGTTTAAGGTTTGGGTGGGCTGGCAATTAGGGTGAAGCACAGCAGGCTTTAAAGCCAGGTTCATCGCTGGCTTGTTATCAGTTCCACATCAGCCAGAGGTTTAGACATCTGGGGGAGAGAACCCTACCTCAAATTTACAAATGGCACGGAATGGAATGGCTGATGGTACAGGTCAGAAATAAAACTGGTTGCATTCTGGGACCCAGTTAAGGCAGTGTTGATATTGCTGGACCCGCAACCCAGGAGACTGAGGCTGAGAAGTGAAATTCGAATAAAATAAATCCAGTTTAGAGAGATATAGGGAATGAAAGAAATGACACTGTTGACATTATTCAGGAGAACTCTGGGAATGGATACCTATGAGACGTTGCCAGTGTTACGGAGCAAATAAGTGAAGGGCGTTACTTGGATTCTGGCTTTATTTCATATATAAAAGATATAAAATATTATAGAAGTATATAGGAACAGGGACATTTCTTTACTGTTCTTTACCACCTGCAGCGTGGGGGCTTCTGGTGTTTCTTCAATTCGATTCTTCCCTGTTGGGACCCCAGAAGCCCCCCTTCTCTGCAGCCACATTTGCCCCACTGGCGCAGCTGTGTGGATGAACTTTTCACCCAGGGCCTCGAAGAGATGCCTTTGTTTATGGAGTTTATTGTAATTTCCATGAGCCGCCGAGAGCCACGCCGCAGGCAAGTGGAATGAAGGGCTGCTGTCATGGAAAGCGAACCAGAGCCGGACCTCGGCTGAGGCGGGAATCCGAGCTCGGGCATCCCAAGCAAAGGGGCCTCGGGTATCACAAAAGGACCCTCTGCCAGACCGACAGTTCAGGCGCCAAGCGGACCCTCCGGCAGAATGTACTAGGCCAGAGGTAGGCAACCTTGGCTCTTTTATGACTCGTGGACTTCAACTCCCAGAATTCCTCAGCCAGCACAGCTGGGAGTTGAAGTCCACGAGTCATAAAAGAGCCAAGGTTGCCTACCCCTGGACTAGACTTCCAGTTCCTGAACATTCTGTCGCCGGGGGGGGCCGGGGAGCGGGACCGCCGGGGCAGCCCAGCCGCGCTCGGCAGGCTTTTCCCCGGGGAGGGCCCGGGCCCTGAGCTCCTTCGCGGGAGGGCGGGCGGGGGGACCCCCGAACCACCCTGCAGGAAGACCGTCCGCGCCCCTGCCTCCCGGGGCCTTCGGTCCGCCTGCCCGCGGCGGAGGAAGGAGGGAGCCCGCCCCGATCTTCTCCCCAGCGGGCCTCGGCGTCCAGGCGGCGCCCAGCGGGGGCAGCGGCGGCAGGCGCGGCCGCGGCTCACAAGGGGTTACGGCTGCTTGGGCGGGCGGCTCCTCCTCCGCGCGCTGACAGCAGCAGCAGCAGCAGCAGCCGCAGCTGTCTGGCGCTCCCGGGCCCGGCGGCCGGCTAGTCGCCGCGGGCATCCGAAGCGGGGGGCGGTGCCGGCAGCGGACCCCGCGAGGAACGCCCGCCGCCGGGCAGGTGAGGCGGGTGCGCGCAGCGGCGGGCTGGCGGGGGAGCGGGGGAGCGGGCGGGCGTCCCCTCGGCGTTCTGCGCAGCCAGCCGGCCAAAGAGGCCCGGGGGGCGGCCGTGTCCTCCGGCGCGAGGGGGCTCGGCCGCATTACCCCCCCCCCGGGATTTCTCGCGGCCGGCGCGAAGCCTCCTCCCGAGCCTCCGCCGGGGAGAGGCGGCACGTGCCCGCCGCCCTCCGATGCCGCTGGCCCGAGCCGCTTTTCGGCCTGCGGGGGGGGGGNCGCCCACTGCGGCAAATTCCGCGGCTGGCGCCCTCTGCTCCGAACGCCCCGAGCCCCGCCCCTTCCCCGCTCCGAGCCGCCGGCCTCCAGCCGAGGGGTCCCCGCCGGCCTCGGGGACAGCTGGCGCGAGCGGCCGAGGCTGCCCAGGCGGCGGCGGCGACAGTCTCCCGGCCGCGCGGCTGCTTCCCCCTGGAGTGCCCCGGGCGCCTCCGGGCCCCGCAGCCGTGCCGGGCGTTGGGGCCCGTCCCTCGGGCGACCGGCGGGAGCGCGCGCAAGCGGTGTGGGGCGCGTGGATCGGGCAAAAGGAAAGGCAGGGTGGAGTCTGCGGGAAGGGCCCCGACCTGGAGAAGCCCCCAGGCCTCGGCCTCGGAGGTCGGAAAGCAGCGGGAGGGCCGCCCTTCTCCCAGGCAGGCACAACGCAGCCACAGAGTTCAGCCATCCGCCGTGGGCTCCATCGGGGGCGCCCCACCGGGCCCTCTAGGGAAGGCTGACCAGGGCTGGCCGCTGTCTCCAGGGAGCAGAGCAGAGCTCCCTTCTGGGCTGCTCCTGCAGGCAAAGGGCTCCCCTTAGAGGGGCCGGGCTCCTTCAGGGCTCGCTTTCCCACCTCCCATCCCTCATCCCTGCAGTCCAGTCCAGAGCAAATTGGAGAGTTTGGGGGGAAATATTCTCCCAAGATCTCAGGGCTGCTCACAGGAGAACCTTCTGCCCGCTAAATGATGGGGGTCCTCCTGAGGAGGGATCTGGGGCACCTTCCACTGGCAGAGAAAGGATTCTCGCCCTAATCACCACAGCAGAGGCTGGGTTATAAAAGTGCTTCTGGTTTCACTCCAGATCCCTTGGCTGCTGTTTCAGAGCTTCAGGGCAGAGCAAGGAGCCCCGAGTAGTAGGAAGAGGCTGCTGAGGGGGGATCTCAACCAGCATCTTTGTAATCCAGAGCTTGACCATTTGCTGAGCCTGCCAAGGGCTTAGAGATGTTTCTGAATCTATTATCTCTTGCCTGGATAGGCCATCCTCCCCATTCTTCCCACTCTAGGAAGGTTACTAGTGGGAGGAAAACTCATGCGGGTCAGGCAGGAACCTTTCCATTGTCCAGTTTCGGATTGCACATCAACCATTTGGAGATGAAGATGGAGGCCTAAAGCCATCTCTGGATTGGGTGTGAAATTTCCTGTGACAAACCCATGATTGCCATGACACAGTGAATTTCCAATCGTTCCCAGAAATTCCTATTCGGAGGTTGATATCCCACAGCACAAATAGTTTAAAGAACTCCACGGGGCTGTCCTTCAGCAAGGATCCACTTGGCCGGACATGATTGGGATTCCTGTTTTCTCTAGGCTCAGCGTAGCAGGCCACCTTCACAACTCATCATCTCCACAAGAGGTCACTGTTACATTGTCTCAGGTGACCATTAGCACCTTGTCACTCCTGGAGCACCTGAGGCAGGATTCAAAAGCTGGCAAGCAGACCTAAGAGGGCAGTAGCCCCATCCCCAGGAACCTAGGTTTTGATAAGGCATACCAGGCCTGCTTGCTCACGCATGACCAAGGTCTGTCTCTTTCTGCCTCTCTCTCTCTCTGTCCATCTATTTAATCTATCCAGATTTGAAGTCACTCATCTCCCTCACAGAGGGACTTGGCATTTGCCAATAGCATTTGCCAATAGCAACTTGAGTTTTGAAGCAAACAGGGGACCCGTGTGCAATTGGCAGATCTATTTGAAAAACAAAGCTTCTCTACTTCTCTCCAGGTCAGAGGACCCTTCACCACCAGAGTGAGGACCTGGACACAGTCATCTTAGTCAATCCTGATGAATGGAGCGCGGTGTCAGAGGTAAAAACACACAAGGCCAGCATGTCTGGTTTTGCCAGAGTTCCTGCAATGGCCTATCAAATATGAGCTAAAATGGGTAAATGTCTTGAGCCATTCCTCAAAACTCCTGTGCTTGGCTACGGCGTCCAGGACCTCCCTTCTAAAAAGTAAGGTGACCTCCTGCTTTTCCTCTATATTTAAATGCAGTGTATTGATTCTCCTGAGCACTGTTGGGTGAACACGAGTCCAAAAACACCACAGAGCTTGGCAGGTTTTTCTAAATGTTGGGGGAGGTGGGGCACTTCTGTTAATAACATTCTGAAAACCCAGAAGTCACGAATCGGAAGCTGAAATCCCATCTTTGATGTAAACAGGTCCGTTCTTTGATATGTGACTCTTCTGCCCACAAGCTGCTAGTCCTGTGTGGGCAGAGCTCTGACCAGGGAGGTGACTTGATTCTGCAGACTGGCACCTTCACCTACCAGAAACTCACCGGGATATTTGCAGATCCAGAGGTAAGTGGATAAACTTGGATTCCAGTGAAATCAGGTGGCTTCGTTCTCTTGCCTCTAGTCCCCCCCCCTTCCTTGAGTTTAATTTTGGGAGTCTAGTAAATTATTTGGCACTAGCAATTTGAGTTGCTGAGCTGGAGACCATTTTACATGGAGACTCGCCACATGACATTAATTCAGAGACATTCAGTATGTTTTCCATCATCTGAACTGCATAAATTAAATATTCCAGAGATCTTGGGTACTGTCTTAGACTCTTTGGAAATTCCTTTCAGGTAGCTGCTCTTCTGGTCAATGGTCAGTGATTAAATAACATCTTTATGTGTACAGTTCATATAAATGTAATATAAATTTATGTCTATATTTCATATAAATTTAAAAAAAAACCATGTTTCTAATAAAAATAATTGTAGGTTATCCAGGAGTAACAGATGATTTATAGAGTGTTGATTGATTGGGTAGTATTTTTTTTTTAATTAAGCTGAATTTGCATAGCAATCACAAAAATAACTTTTGATCTTAATCAAGAAGATTTCATGATTACAGCCTGTTTTGAACTTTTGTAGGTTGCCCAGCTTCTCAGTAACACTGATCTGGCTTCTAAAACCTCCCTCACAATATCGTGCTTGGGAGAAGGAGATTGGAGAAATCTTGGCCACTCCAGTTTCGAAGACCTTTTCTGTCTGAGAGTTAATCCTGACCCAGTCCTGCCAGAGATGGATGGGATATCTGAATTTGCTGAATATGTCTCTGAGACAGTGGATGTCCCATCGCCCTTTGATCTCCTGGAACCCCCAACCTCAGGGGGTTTTCTAAAGCTCTCCAAGCCCTGCTGCTACATATTCCCAGGAGGAAGGGGGGACTCGGCTCTCTTCGCTGTCAACGGGTTCAACATTCTGGTTGATGGTGGCTCAGACAGGAAGTCCTGTTTCTGGAAGCTGGTCAGACATCTGGATAGGATTGACTCAATTCTGCTGACCCACATCGGGGCTGACAATCTCCCAGGCATTAATGGACTCTTGCAGAGGAAGATCGCTGAGCAGGAAGAAGAGCAGTCCCAGGGCTCCACTAACTACAGTGACTGGATAAAGAACCTTCTGTCTCCAGAGCTCGGGGTGGTTTTCTTCAATGTTCCTGAGAAGCTCAGAATGCCAGAGTCCTCCATGAAAGTCAAAAGAAGCATCGCAGAAGCCAGCCTGACCCTCCAGTACCTCAACAGGCTAAGCATTAAGCCGGAGCCTCTCTACAGAGTGGTCACCAATATTGTTGAGCCAATCACTCTGTTCCACAAAATGGGCGTTGGGAAATTGGACATGTACATCTTGAACCCCGTCAAAGAGAGCAAGGAGATGCAGTTTCTCATGCAAAAGTGGACTGGGAACAGTAAAGCCAAGACAGGCATTATCCTTAGTAATGGGAAAGAAGGGGAGATTTCGGTCCCCTATCTAACATCCATCACGGCCCTTGTCGTGTGGCTTCCCGCAGGACCAACAGAAAAAATTGTACGAGTTTTGTTTCCAGGAAATGCACCCCAAAATAAGATTTTGGAAGGTCTTGAGAAACTCAAGCATCTTGATTTTCTGAAGTATCCTGTAGCTACCCAGAAGGACGTGGCTTCTGGCACACCCTCCTCTGTGCTTAAACAGTCCAAGATTAAACAACGGACAGACAGTAAAGAGAGCCTCAAGCTATCGCTTAAGCCTCCTACCACAAAGGTAGTTGCTGAAGAGGGCTCTAAAGAGATGAAGATGGAGACAGTAAAAGAGGCCAAAACTGAGAAAAAAGGGAAAGAGCATTCTGAAATGCTTCAAGAGAAGCTGGTTAAAACAGAAAAAATAAAAATGGACTCCAGCGATGCCCTTAAAGCTGAGAAAAGAAAACTGGCCAAAGACAAAGTTGGCAAAAAACATCTCAAAGAGAAAGTTTCCAAACTGGAAGAAAAGAGAGACAAAGAAAAGAAAGATGTTAAAAAGGAGAAGAGGGAGATTAAAAAAGATGATGGAAAGAAAGAAGAAAGGAAAGATTCCAGGAAAGATGAAAAAAAGAAAGAAGCTAAACCAGAGTTGAAAAAATTTTCTAAGCCAGACTTGAAGGCCTTTACCCCTGAAGTAAGGAAAACTTTATACAAGGCAAAAGTTCCCAGTAGAATAAAAACTGACAAAGTTCGTACCAAAACTGAAAAGTGTGCCACTGGAGAACAGAAGTCTCCAACTGTGCCAAAGAAGCAGGACCGGCCTCAAGACCCACCAATTATGGCTGAGGAGAGGCTTGTGATATCTTCACCAGAGGACCTGACCAAGGATTTTGAGGAGCTGAGCTCTGAAGAGCAAAACGAGTCTCATCCTGCATCCGCTGCTTTAGTAGCAGAGGCCGTCTCCAAGGGTGCAGAAAGACAGGATCCCTGCGACCTGGCTGTTGAAAAGGGGGTGCTGGTATCCAAAGGGACCAGTAGTTCAGGATTTCTTTTTCGGGCCATGCCGGAGGAGGACATGGCTTCCCCCAAAGGTGAGGTGATGGAAGCAGGGAAGCCATCTGAAAAACCTGATGAGAAAGCAGCCTTGGCAGAGCCTCATGGGCAAGAACTGGATGAGAACGTCAGAAGGAGCGTCGGAGAACTTCCAGCAAAAGGGAAAGATCAGATACCATCACCCAGGGAAGAAAGAAATGCTGCTTTGGGAAGGGATTGGGCGTCCCCGAGAGAAGACACAAGCTCAAAAGAGGAAGATTTGTTTAAAAAGGCAGAGCTGGGAGGGACATTAGAAGAAGACGCCAAGACAAAAGGCCAAGAGTTAGCAAAGAAGGAGCTTTGTCGAGTCCAGCCACCGCAAGGCCCACCTTTGCTTTCTGATGGGAAAGGAAAAGAACACAAGGCAGAACGAGTGAACGCCAGCAAAGTACCTGGGAAGCTGCCAGGGATAAGGGAAGGGGAGGACTCCTCTCACCTGGGAAGCATCCCTTTCCCATCAGGAGAACACATCTCCTACATCCAAGATGAAACCATCCCTGGCTACTCAGAGACAGAGCAGACCATTTCGGATGAGGAGATCCACGATGAGCCAGAGGAGAAGATGGCACACTTCAAGCCAGACATTGGCAGCTATGACATTGCAGGACCAGGTCAGATAGACACCTTCGAAACGGCTCATGGGATCCAGACTCTCACAGCGCCTGAAGTGGCCAAAGGGTACGCTGGACAGGAACCCGAAATCCTTGCCTACCCTACAAACCTCGTGGCAGCCCCCTTGGCCGAAGAGGAGCATGTCTCCTCAGCAACATCCATCACAGAATGTGACAAACTTTCCTCCTTTGCCACTTCTGTTGCTGAAGACCAGTCGGTCGCATCCCTCACAGCTCCACAGACAGAGGAAACGGGCAGAAGTTCCTTCCTGTTGGATACAGTGAACAGCATACCTTCCTCTCGAACAGAGGTCACCCAAGGCCTAGATTACGTGCCTTCTGCTGGCACGATTTCTCCCACGTCTTCCCTAGAAGAAGACAAAGGCTTTAAGTCTCCTCCTCCAGAAGACTTCCATAGTCAAACGGAAAGCGAGAAGAAACTTGAGGCCTGCAAGAAAGTTTTACAGCAGCAGCAGCAAGAAATTCCACACTTTGAGAGGCCTTGGCAAGCAGAAGAACATTACAGTGCCCTAGTGTTTGCACAGCAAGGGCCCCTGGGAGATAGTCCAAGTGAAAGATCCATGGAAGGACCTCAAAAAACCACCCTGCTTTTGAGTGAAGCAAATGCACACTTGCTGCAGGTACAACAAGGCACAGGCGATGCTGAAGATCGCTGCATAAGCCCTGATGACAGCACAGTCAAGATGGCATCTCCCACCCAATCAGGCCCCACTAGTGCAGGGCACACACCTTTTCATCAATCCCCTATAGAGGAAAAATTGGACACCGCAGAAGCAGAGATGTTTGAAAAGGCAGCAAAGTCTCCTGTAATGGGGATTGAAATAGAAGGACCCGACAGAGCAATGAATGTATCCAGAACATTTGAAGGTGAGGGGGAGCATCATGAAATCAAGAAGACATGCCTTCATGACGTGCCTGGCCTGGAAGCAGCAGCCATCCCGCACGCAGGATTTTTATCTGCACTGGATGAAGACAGGAACCAGAATTTGGAGAAAGAGGAGCTAGCAATAAGCTTCTACCACAAGCAAGAAACTATTGATATTTCTGACCTGGATCTTCCCACTAAAGATAACCTTCTAGAGACCTTAAAAGATGCTTCATCTAAGAATGTCGACACTGCTGAGGAAGCATCCCATGAACCTGTCGTTAGGTCTGAGATTGAGGAGTTCTCTGCTTCAGAAATACCTCCGCCAAAAGGATGGGAAGCAATTTCAGACATATCTAGAGATGAAAAATCTTCACAAATCATTAATTTACCAGGAGAAGAAAAAGCATCTTCTTTTACTGACGAAATTCCTGGGAAGACATCATGTTCTGATAATTTCATCACTGAAATATCTCAAGAGAGCTTGCATTTGACAGAAACTGGCTTAGAGCAAAAAGAGTCTGCTTCTCCAGAAGATACTAAGCTTGTTCTGAGTCTTCATGAAGAAACCCCTTCCTATATATTCAAAGAAGAAGTTTCTCCAAGAGATACTACACTTCTGCTTACAAAAGAGAGCCCTGTTAAAGAGGCATCACTGGGCATGCTTGTGGAACATCTGTCTCCTAAAACTAAGCACCAAGCTTCTCCAGAAGGGAGCCCAAGTACAGATGAAAGATCAGAAACTGATGTCAAAGAGGATCCATGCATTGCCTCTTTAAACTTTCAGCAAAATCCATTTCTAGATGCCACTATAATAAAGACTTCAGCAGACCCTTTTCTGGAAAATGAAAGATCAGCTTCCTTAACAGAAAAACAAACTCACGAGGAACTACCTCCCAAACAAACATCTCCAGACCCAAAGTCTTCAGGCTTCACATCAGAGAGCCCAGGTTTAGATGCCTTGGAATTTTCATCTGGAGAGAAAGAACCTTGTCAATTTCTGGGAAAGAAAGAGAAGACAAATGAACTATCTCCAAAAATAGAAAATTCTTATCTGAGAGAAATAGATTATGAGAAGAAAGTGTGGTTTCCAGAGGGAATGAAGGAAGTACCATGCAAAGAACCACAACTGAAATATGACAAAGAAAAGGGAGAGTCTACATTTTTGGATGATGAGGTAGACATGTCTGCGAAGAAGGAAGAAAACATCCACTTCGTGGAGATTAAAGATATTCCCAAACAGGGTGGTTTGGATACTGAACATGGCTCCATTCAGGAAGCCGCTGCCGATGAGAAGGGCGGCTTTTTAGTTGTTGATGACAAATCTGTGTTGAAAGAAAAGCCAGCTCCCCAAGCAGATCCTAATCAAGGTGTTTTGAATTCAGAGAAAGCTGAACTTTGTAGCTTTGAAAATAGTCAGTCTTTTGAACTTGAAAGTGAGCCAAAACCAAGTCTGGAATGGGCTTTTGTGTCCTTTCCACCCCAGGCCACGATGCCCACTTCAGTGGAAGGAAAAGAAGAACCTCTCCCTGAATCTAATCAAGTAACGGAGAAAGTGACCCCACAACTGTCTTTTGACCCCATGAGTGAAGCTGTGAAGATCCAGGAGGGAAACCAAAATGCTGATGAGAAATCATCTGAGCATCTTTATGATCACCCAGATGGAAATGGAAAGCAGCCAAGAACTTCTGCAGCTCTTCTGAACGTAGATGTGGGGTCACAGGAGAACAGACAGTTTTATCCTGACCAAGATGGCGGAGGAAGCAGGGACCTTGACATCCCTTCACAAGATGCACATTCTTTTGGCCAAAGCAAGTGCTCTGAGTGGCCAGGCGCTCTGGACCCCTCCGGTCCTTTGGAGTCACACGATTCCAAAGCGAAGTTGGGTGAGAAAAGGCAAGAGAATGAAGAGAGGGAATCAACCCCCTACCCTCATGAAAGAACTTTCCAGTATGCTGATGTCTATGGGAGTATGGCGATGTCTGATGTTGGCCACCCTGGAAAGGATGCCGTGGCCAAGAGTCCTCAAGCATTGAGACCTCAGAAGGAGGAATTCCTCTACCCCATTTCCTCCAAAGAAGAAGATTCTTACCTCTCCACTCCTACTGAGAAAGAACTCTCATCCCCATGTTCGCCAAAGGTTACGATGGGGCATTCCTTTCAATACGCGGAGGTTATCGAGCAGTGTTTGCAGGATCCATGTTCCATGACATCCACAGACACACAATCTAAGGAAAGCCCACCAGAAAGCCCAATGAGCCTCCAGCCTGCCTCCTCTTTGGGAGATACGACCTTCAGGGACATGTTTAATCAGAAAGATCTCATCATCCCCTCTGAAACGATGAGCCCTTCAGATAGAAAACTCAGCCAGGTCCAGGAGTTTCCTTCTTCAGCAGGTTTCCATCCCAAGGACATTTATTACGAGAAAGCTGAAAGAGAAGACAGCGCTAGTGACTCCGAGCTAGAGAAAGGTGCCAAGGAGAGGTCAGAAAAAGAACCAGAGTATTCAACAGTGAAGCGAAAGGAACTCTGTACTGTCTCAGAGAAGGACAACATCTCTGTCCCAGGGCAAGAGGTCTATGATGGGTCATTGGGAGAGGGAAGTCACTCCAAGAAAACAGCCAGTGACAGCCTTGCGGATCCCAGCAGACAGGAAGGGGGCTCAAATGTGCCCCAGGTGGCCACTGAGCAACACTCCCAGGAGGAAAAGCAAAAGGACCTCTCGGAAAAAGCCTGTGATGATGTTGACCCCAAAAGCTTTTTACTTGCAGCCTCTGCTAAAGACAAGGACTCCCCAAAGGGACCCGTCCTCCTGCCTAAAGGGCTCGATTGTTCTTCCTCCGGATTTGAACTTTCTTGCCTGGAAAAGCATGAGCCCTCCATTTTGTTCAGACACGAAGCCCATTTCTCCTCACACTTGGAGCATAAATCTCTCACCTTAAGCACGCCTGAACCTGCAAGAAAGGGTCAAGAAGATGAATACTTAGAGGTATCAAAAAAAGGGGATTCCCCCTTTGTAGAGCTATATGAAGAAGAAGAAGAAGAAGAAGAAGAAGGAAAGCTCCCTTTGTGGACATCCCCAGATTATCTGATCCACAAGGGATCATCCAGCATCCCTGAGGAAACTTTCTCGGGGACCTCTCTCTCTGCGGGGCACCCAACAGGCGGCAGCCCCCTCCCTAGCCTCCAGTACATCTCAGGGGCCAGGGCTGCAGAGACAGGGGCTCAGAGCCCACACATCCTCTCTCAGCTGCTTTCAGAAGAGGCCGCTCTAGATGCAGTAGAGGATGTAGCCTCTGCCGGCACAAAGGCCGTGCAGCCCTCGGAATCCACTTGCGCAGTCGGCTGTCGGCCACAGCCAGCAAGCCCCCAAGAATGGCCAGCAGCAACCGCTCCCCTCCCTAATGTCCTGGCTGGTTCTCCTCGTGGTCAGCAAGAGGCAGGAGCCACCGCTAATGGCCCCACAGAAGTCAATCCACTCACTTTTTATGATTCATCATCACCCATTTCAGAACAATCCAGGCGGGCGGGGGAGGGGCAGGAGGAGGTTTGTGAAAGGCAGAGCCGTCCCCTGTCCCTGGTGAGCCCTTCCCAAGAGGACTTCCCAAGTACACGGTTGAGCAGCCAAACGGAGGAGCACGGAGGCACTTGCCAAGCAGTGGAGCCGTGCTTCACAGCCATATCTCACTGTGGGCAGAAATCGTACGAGCGTAAGCCAAGAAAGGGCGAATTATCTCCATCATTCATCAATCCAAGTCCTCACGATTCATCAGAAGACAGTGAATTTTCACAGGTCAAAGGCCCCGTTTCAGTCAAAGGAAAGCCACATTCAGTTCCTGGTGGCCACAGAGCAGCTACTTCTGCTGTGGAAGAAACTCCTCCCACCTCTGCCAGTGATTCAGGGACTTCCCAGTCAGACTCAGATGTTCCTCCAGAAACGGAGGAATGTCCCTCAATTACAGCAGAGGCAGCCCTAGACTCAGATGAAGATACCGATTATCTCCCAGTCGACAAAACTGCAGGCAGTTCCCAGCATGGCACAAAGTCTGGCCATGACCCCCAGCCTGCTTCTTCAGTAGACCCCCAGCCTCAGCCTCCACACCCAGATGTCTGCATGATGGATCCTGAAATCCTGCTTATTGAGCAGAACCTGAACAGACTTGACAAGGTGCCCAAGAAGGGCCTGAAGGATAAAAACAAAGCATCAAAGAAGCTTCTGGGCAAGTCCAAGTCCTCCTCCTCCTCCTCCCAGAAAGCAGATAAGCCCTTACTTAGTCCCATGAAACAACCATCTTCAAAGCCAGCGATGGCCAGGAAAGAGAAACTGCTCAAGCCACCCACGGAAGACCGAGAGGAGGGTTCTCGAAGCACCCACACCAGCCCTGGCAAGAACCTCATCACTGGTGTCAAAACCGGCCCAGGTAAGAATGAACAGAGGTGCAGCGGAGATTGGGAAGGTTCGGGTCCTCCAGAGGGATGACTGTCTGGGGAAGGTTAGCCTTTCTGTCAGGGGGCTTTGTGGGGTCACAAGAACTAGTGAAATACACAGCAGAGAGTCTTGTCAATTCCTACCCCCCTTTATTAATAATCTAGGGCGAGTTACTACTTTCGTTTTTATCCACAAAAACTATTTAGACAGAATTAAATTAATTACAGGGGCTAAATAAGCTAGATGCCTCCTCCTCCCTCCCTCCATTGCTTTATCTGCCTTTCTGATTAATAGTAGGTGAAGCAACAGTAAAACAGTTAAAGTCTTTCTTTACATATCCAAGAGTTTAAGTTCTCCCTACCGGATACGTATGCAGTGTTGACAAAAACGTGCACTGCAGTTTCTAGATTCCCACTTAGAGTTCAGTCAGGGAGATGATTACCTGGCAGGGTGAGATTCCCTCTCTTCATCCTCCTCAGCTTCTCATGATAGCAATTTGTGGGAAAGGAGTGTCCCTGGGGCCCCTCTTCTCTGGGCCCTGCTCTGGAACAGACCGTTGTTCAGCCGTGTGATGTTATCTACTAGGGATCAGTTCTTCTGTTTTGTGGACTGCCCAGCAAATTTAGTAAAGTGTAAAAAAAAAAAGATGTTTCTTAGTCTATCTGTTTCTTCCAACCAAACCATAAGGAAAAGTTTCCAGTTGTTGCATCCTTTATCAAAAACCTCCACTTTCTCTCCACAAGTTTCCAGCAGCCCCAAAAGCTCCTCCACCTCACCTGGAACGCCTGTCTACGTGGACTTGGCTTACGTCCCCAACCACTGCAGCGGGAAAAATACAGACCAGGAGTTCTTCAGGAGAGTCAGAGCTTCTTACTATGTTGTCAGTGGGAACGACCCCAGTAGTGGGGAGCCCAGCCGTGCCGTCCTGGATGCCTTGTTGGCGGGAAAAGCCCAGTGGGGGGAGAACCTGCAGGTAGGTGCCTGGCGTGGTGGCCTGTAAGATCCATTTCTGTAGAAGGTGGAAATGAAGTATTGGGCCGTGTCCTCTCGGCCGTTTGGGAACAGCTGCAGGCCCCAGGGATCCTCTTCTGCAATAGAAACATTACTCTAAGAAGAAACGTCCATTCTGATCCTCCAGCTGGGCTCCTGTCCTGGAACTGAGGGGGGGGGGCACAGGCGTTTCCTCCTTTAGAAAGTTATCTTGCCTCCAAAAGCTCAGCTTTTTTCTGACAGCCCAGCTCAGGATGAAGGCAGGCTCACTCCAGTCTCCCCCTCCCCACAACCCCCATCAATCTGCTGGCCTGCAACTACTTTGCCATAACAACCCCCCCACACACACACACACCCGTCATGCAGAAAGTGGCTGCGGCTGGCGGCAGAATCTGTACCGCCTCTGGTTGTCAAAGACCGGCAAGAATTTCAGTGCAGTCCACAGCCTTTTCACATGTGGTCCACATCTCTCGTTTCCCCAGGTAACTCTAATCCCAACACACGACACAGAGGTGATGCGAGAATGGTACCAGCAGACGCACGAGAAGCAGCAGGAGCTGAAGATCATGGTCTTGGCCAGTAGCAGCACCGTCGTGATGCAGGATGAGTCTTTCCCTGCCTGCAAGATCGAGTTCTGAGGTCTGAGCTTCTCCTCCTCTCCTCCACCTCCCACGCAGCACTTGGAAGACCCGTCTGCTCCCCACCGCTTGATTTGTTTGCCTTTCCTGAGTGTCAGCTGAACTCGCCAGGAGCAGCACTCCGTCCGTCCGTCCGTGTGGTTCTTGCTTGCCAGAGCCCCCGAGACCCGTCCCACATGCCTGGACGTGTGCAGAGTGGCCCCACCACTTGCTTGCTCTCCCTGGAACCGCTACCAAGGAGTTTGGCTCCCTTGATTTGGTTTGTCTGCACGGTTTTTGCCCTGTTCCTTCTCATCCCATGGCTGAGTTCCGTCCTGCTGGATTTCTGGATTCGGCTCTTGGGCAACCCTTGGAGACTACGCTAGAAGAGGACGGGGGCCTGATGGAGAAGACGAGGCTCAACCTCTAGAACAAGCCAAGCAAGCAGGTGGCCACAAGGCCCTACTTTCTGGGGAAGCTGCACAGAAGAGAATGCCTCCAGAGAGCAGACACAAAGTGGCAAATGCTACTTCTTTGGCACCATTAGACCCTTCAGAGAGATGGCACAATCCACCTTCCCCTCGGTGGCACAATAATTTGACTGGGGGGGAGGTTCCTGTGGTGATCCTCTGCCCAGGCTGCCCTTTTGCCCTTGTCCAAGGGCCGGAGGCTGGGATGGCTCTGCCACTCTGCCCGCAGCTCTCATCCCCTCAAAGGCCCAGCTGAAAGCAAAACCTTTCGCTTTCTGTGATATGATCTGGATCAGCACATCCATGCAAAGCTGTCTGTGCCCGGGACGGGTTGGCGGTCGTGGCAGCAGGCATTGGGAGCCGCCTGGTGCAATTCTGGGCAGGTTGTTAAGAAAGCATCTCTTTGTCCTCTGTAGGAATAGATCAGCTTGGAAGAACCAGATGTCCTGGCACCCTTCAAAGGAGAGAGCAGATGAGGAGAAATAGAGCAGTGTTATTTTTTTCTGGTTATTGTTTAATTTATTGGGTTTTTTTAAATGCTGTGTACTTTTTCCATGTACAGGTATAGTTGTTTTGCATTTGTGTTTTAAAACGTTTTGACTTTTATTGTAGGCTCAACTCCCAGGTCACAGGGTACTCAAGTTTCTACCGGTAAATGCTGCAAACTGACAGAGGATGAAGAATTGTCCCCTCCCCCGTCACTTTGGTAACACACATTTGAATCCTTCGCTCTGCAGGGACCCAGGTCAGCCTTGGGACACCTGGTCCTGGATGAGGGGAGATGCATGCCAACCTTTGTGGTTCTCGTGGCTTGAATTGCTGCTCTTCTGACTGGTGTTTAGCTGGCAGACCAAGTGTACGTCTGTAGTTAGACAAGTGAATGTACTGACCCACTTATGAATGTGTCTTAGAAGCTGAAGCTAATGGGGGGGGGAGGGGGGGAAGCAGGGAGACCAAGAACTTTTCCTTCCTCTTAAGTGGTACAAGGACTCTGACTCATCTGTTATTCCTCCTCCTCCTCCTCTTCCTCCTCCTCCTCACACAGCCGTGCCTCAGAGTCACTCCAATATTTTGTAGTTTTGGAGCAGCTTCAGCAGGCTCCCCTTTCCCGTTTTATGGCAAAATGTATAAAAATCGTTGCTCATCTTTAGCCGTGAGAACCAATTTGACTTTTGGCAACCGATGGAGAAGAACACTGCTTCTGCTGTTCCTGCATGTGGCAGTTAGTAGTACCCGACTACTCCTGTTCCTATGACTTACTTGGCCTCCTGGCAAAGAGAGCGAAGGGGCCCTTCTGCTGAGTGGGGTGGAAGTCTCACCTGAACGGCACAGTTCTCCCTTCTGCTCCCCCTCCGACGTCTCGCCCGCCTTCATTTCTGTGTGCAATACGCTGTAATGCTAATAACCGCAAAGGAATGGGTCTGCGCTGACCAATAAAGCAACATTAACCACATGACAACCTGTGTGAGGCTCTCCCTCCGGCACGCTGGTGATCGCAAGGCCAAGAGAGCCATTTTGGATCCCTTATCTAGCTCTTTAACTGGGATGCTGCTCATCTGGCTTGAAGGCGCCTGGCCACAAGAGTGGGACCCCTGCCTCAATCCAGCCGCAGCTGGGCTTACCTAGTGTGCTGAGAGTTAGGAACATGAAAAGGCTGGGCTGGCTCTTGGACAGGCTGTGCCCTAACAAACCACAGTACAGCGGAGTATCTTGATTTTGTACATATGACACTCTGAGGCAGGTCTCTTTCTTTGGAGCTGCGAAAGGGGAAATAGGATTCACCAAGCACCCCCCAGCCTTCAGGGGGTGGGGGGGTGGGAGATTTCCAACTTCCTCTTTGCCTTGCAGTACCCACCATTGTTCTCTCTCTGTCTCTCCCTCCCTCCGGCTGCTGGCAATGTAATAACTGGGCCACACTTTCTCTTAGAGATTGCATAGCTCTCCCTCTAGCAACCCAGATATCCCGAACAACTCAAATTGGGCCGAAGAAAGGAGCAGAGGCTAAGGAGAAATTGCCACTCTTTATGGGCAGAGACCCCAAATCTCAGGGATCTGATTTGGGAGCAAGTTTGGGGGAAGTGAGAGAGACGTTAAATGGGAACTAAACCAACAGGCAGTGAGTGAAGGCTAGTCAGCCAGTGAGAACAAGGAGGGCACCTTGAGATAACAAGCACCTGCGCTTGATTCCTGGAAGGCTGAGCCTTGCCACGGGGTGTGTGTGTGTGTGTGTGTGTGAACATAAGCCCTTCCTTAGGCTTCGAATTCTCCTTTCTGGGCATGGTGAATGATTCTGTAAGGATCTGCCTCAACTAGATCTCCCAAGAAAGCAGAACTCTTGAAACAGGCATTGTTTCAAAAGGAACTTTTATTGAGAGTTAGTGATAGCAGTAGAACAAATCAAGGTCTGAAGAATTCGTGTGCAAAAGGTTACATCATAATGCCCAGGCAGAACTCCTCCCCCCAGTGGCCAACCACCCGGTTGAAATCCAGCCAATCCATAGGTGCTATGTTGTTTTGAGGACCTGGTGATTTAGTGCCCATTTCAAGGTCTCTCTCGGTTTCGTTTTTCAACGGTCCCAGGATCCGTTGTCTGGAGATAAGGCAGAGATCTTCAGGCTACATTCCTTTCTCATGGAGGGAGGTATTTTCACAGAGGACAGAGCAGAACAAGACAGAGCAAGACAAATACATTCCCCAGCCCCCTCTCACCAGGATGGCAGACCCCCCAAAAGAGTACATAATAATAAAAGGCATGCAAGCAAAGTAGAGGGGTCTGGCAGATCCCTCAAGCATTGCCACAGAATTTAGAGGTGCTGACCGCTGATGGGGAGAACTGAAACGGGCAACAAAGAACACCCCCAGGTCAGAACAGGGATCTTTGGAGCAGCTGTATTGTGCAAGAGCTCTGAGTCATCACCTTGTTTAGGAGGATTTCTTTTGCCATTATTGTGTGTTTCCTACCCACCCCACATTCCACCTCCAGTTGCACAAACTCAGTGGGAATGTCCCCAATGCAGCACTTTTTTTATCCCAGCCAGCTGTTTCCACCCTTTCTGCAGCTCCATCGGAGATTTCAGCACACCATCTTTCCTAGCAACCCCCCCCCCCCTGACCTGCTTGTTTCTCTTCACCCTGGGGGTCTTGGCAGCTTAACGGTCATCTCAACACCCAGGAGTCTGCTTGTCCACAGAGCCTCTCATGCCAACCAGAACCCCCTCCACTGGGTACAACAAGCGGGGTGCCCTCCACCCTTCATTCTTCCTCTTCTGCTGCCTTCGTTCCTTCAGCAAGAAAAGGAAGGTTAGAAAGCTCCCCCACTGCCTGCCTGACCAGGGGAAAGGGGGACCAATATCTGCCAGCGGGAAACCATCTTGCCTTGAAGCTCTGGCATGAATGCCTCCAGAAGGCTCTCCAGCTGGAAATCTGGACACTCACAAGTGTCTCTCTGACCTGCGGTCCCTCCTGGCGTGCGAAGGCCCTTTGGCTCCCTCCAGAATGGTGCCACCGCACAGTTGTTGCAGCTTAAACATGGAATGTTGTAGCAGTTCACTTTTAATTTACTTTCTCTGCCTCCTTCTTAAAAGAAAATCGTCTACTGAAAAAGTATCGCCAGAATTACCACCCCAGGCCTTGGAGAAGCAGCAGAACCATTTCAAGCCGTTGCCAAGAACCCGAGATGTGATCCTTGGGACGTCCAGTCAGGCCGAAGCTGCTTTGCCTTCGGCTACTCCTCCCTCCAGGCTGGAGACCGTGGAATGAGTCGGTCGGCTCCTCCCGTGCCTACATGCCTCCTTGCCACCTCCTTTCCCCGGAAGGACCAATTTATTCTCCTCTGCAGAGCCTCTTTGGAGAAGGTGAGAAAGCTGCTGGACAGCCAACGTCCATAGGTCACTGGACCCCTCCTTGCGAACATCTCAGAACAACCCCTAAACATCAGCCGGGACTTGCTCTCCTGTCACAGAGCAGGCAGGTTTCTGGGGCACATCTGAAGGGTGTCGGATTCCGATGGCCCGTCTCCTGGGCTTCGCATGAACAAATCCGGGAAACTACGATGTGGCGTCAACTGTGCCTCCTTTGACTGGAGATTTGCAGAAACCAGGCAGCTTCTTGGCCGGCCCCAGGCCACGCCTTGCTCCTTCACATCCCTGTCTCCCCTGGACAAACTGCTCCTGCTCAGGGAGGCTCTGCTCTTGAGCCCCTTTTCCACAGAAGGAGACCCCCATCTGACGAGGCTCTACTTCTCAGTACGGCAGAGAATAATGATGCAACCAGGGCAGAGAGTGTTTTACTTCAGGTTGAACCTACATCACAAGGACTTAGCGAGTGTGTCACCACTCAAAATGAGGAAAACACAGAAATCTTAACCACTGACATTTTGGACATGACATCTGGCCTCCCTTCCTCTCCCCCCAACCACTGATGCAAAGAATATATTACTATTTACATTTGGTAACACACACTCACACACACACACACACCGGCAACTGACTTGTATATTTCTAAGAAAACCTGATTCTCCTTGGTGGTTCCAGCAAGGCTGGGAAGGGGCTTCAAGGAGGCCATTCCTCTTCCTACACCATCCAAAGCCAGGGTGATTGCTGCTTCAGCAGCCTCAACAGACCTCCATGGAAAGCCTGGAGTGCACGATCCACCTGGCCGGCCCTGAAGCTTCCTCGGCTCCAGTGGGGCAGCGTGGACCCATATGAGCTCCCTGTTGGAGTCTTCACTGCTCTTGACTTTGGCTGGTGGGATGGCAGTCTCCCAGGTGCTGCCGGGGAGCAGGAGTTGCCTTGCTCTCTCTCCCCAGGCAAGGTCCCTAAGCCCCTCGCTCGGGGGCCCTGTGAGTAAGATCTCTCACACCTTTTTGCTGTTCAGCTCATCTGGGTCTGGTTCTGGGCCCCAGAGGCCCCACGGCTGCCCCTCTCCCTCCTCTGGCTGCTCTTCCCGCTGGGCTGGGGCCTCCTCCAGCCGGTTTTGCTCTGGCCCCGCCGCCTCCTCCTCGCTCACTGCCAGGAGCTCCCCCCAGGGGGAGAAGCCCTTGAGGCCCCCTTCCTCCACGCTGAGCAGTTCCTCACTGGGGAGCTGGCTGCCAGGCTGGTCCCCGTGGAAGCAGATGGCCAAAGAGGACAAGGATTCCATGAGGCCTGTGCCGGAGGCCACATCCAACCGGCTGTTCCCCTCTGCAAGGCAAACATAAGGGAGACCGTCATGGGCAGATCTCTGGCCAGGACCCCAGTACAGCAGGGTCTCTGCAGCACCTTCAGCCAGAGGGGATCAAAGACCCTCGAAACCCCTCTGGCGTGAGCAGCCCCACTTCCTGCTGAAGTGCTCACAGCTGCAAAAAAACTGCTTGCCACAATCTGGCAATGTTGCCACCCCTTCAGTTCCCTGAGCCAGCCATCGCCCCCTGGCGACACACCGGTGGGCTGCCCCATCTTCCAGCCCCCTCAAAGCCTTCCTTTCCCATCCTCCAGCATAGGGCAACAGCCACCTGTTCCCTCCTTTGCAGAAGTGGTGGGCAAGCAGGGCACCAGCTGCAGCGGCCTCCCCTGGCTCGATTCTGCTCACCAGCTTTACACACAGCTGCTCAACTCACAAGTCCCAAAACTGCATGGCTCAAATCAGACGGACAGCAGTACAGAAGAAACAGAGAACACAGCCAAGGCTGTCCCACCATCCTCTCCACCCCCCAATCATTTCAGACGGATGCAGCCAGCACCCTGGCCCCACCTGCGGCTCAGTGGTCTGGGTGGGCAAAGAAGCCCTTGCTCCTGCGGCCTCTGCAGGCCTTTAGCCCACCGTGGCGGCAGCTCTTTTGGAAGGTTTTCTGCCCTGGTTGGAAAGTCATGGCTGCTGGGTTGCCCGCATTACGGCACGGGCTTCCTTCAGAGAAAAGCGTTGGCTCTTCCAACAGGAATCTTGAGCTGCACTCAGAGCAAGGCCAGCAAATTTAGCCAAGGGGATTCGCACAAACTGTTTCTTGGTCTGTCAACCTTGGTGCCCACAGATGGGAAGGTGGGGAGGATATAGACAGAATCAGGGCTGCTCCCTCAGGTGGTTTGTGAGCCCAGCCCGGAGATCACACAGCGGGGTTCTTCTCAGATGCTGCCCCTTCCCTTCCCTACCTGCTGTCCGGTGTTGGTGCTGCAGTTTTAGCTGACCTCCAGCCGACAGTATTGCTCAAGCACGGAGACCAACAAGAGCTTTGAGGTTGGCTCAGAAATGAGGGACCTCTGAGGGAGCTGCCTTTCCCAATTAAGACTGAAAGAGAGGCTGCTGAGACAAGCCAGCTCTTCCAATTGACTCTTGTGATTTGTGAGATTAAAAACTTTAAGCTCTTACCCCAATCGAATCATGACTCCCCCCCCCCTTGAGCTGTAGCAGCATCCAGGACCTGCCGGACACTTAATCCACATTCACTGATATCTGACATTCCTTTGACCAACTCCAGAGGTGGAAGGGAAGATTTTGGGACTCTAAAACTTGCCCAACAAAAGCAACCCCTCCGGGGAGTTGAATTCTGGAGACGTTTTTGCCATTTGGGCTCCCCTGATAGATTAAGGAGGACCCCAGGGGCTGTAAGTAACCTATGGAGCCATTTAAAGAACCACGATGCTGCTTGTTTTGTCTTAGCATCTCTTTGGATGTCCTCCTGCTTCGGTACCCATTAGCCACTAGTAATGCAGGAATTTCAGAAAACTCACAGCTCCTATGTCTGCCTTTTTCACTTGCTCTGTTCAAACCCTACAACAGGGGTAGTCAACCTTGGCTCTTTTATGACGCGTGGACTTCAACTCCCAGAATTCCTGAGCCAGCTAAGCTGGCTCAGGAATTCTGGGAATTGAAGTCCACGCGTCATAAAAGAGCCAAGGTTGACTAGCCCTGCCCTACAAGGAGCTGTCTCTCCTGTCTACAATGGCACAGTACAAAGAGGAACCAAGCCAGCACTGTTTTGGGTCCAGAGCTGCAGTCCGCTGGGTTCAGACCCAGCCCAAGGGCCCCCTCCCCTCCGTCTCCTCCCAAGGGGGTTACCTGTGCAGGGCCTCGGCTGGGGGACGGGGCAGCTCCCAGACAGAGCAGTCAGGAAATCGCTGACCTGGCGAAGGGAGAGGCAGTTGTGCAGCGTCTCCAGTGGGTAGATGCTGGGCACCATGGAGCAGCCTTCGAACCCTGCAGACCAAACAGAGCAACCTCAGTGCCGTGGAGTCTCACCCACCAGCCTGCTTCCACTCTAGTCACTCCAAATGGCAGCAGTAGCATCAGCTCTGACCCTTTCTGAGCCTCTTGGGCAATAGACGCGGAGCCCCAGTCCCCAAGGCCAAGGTCAAAGCAGCGGAGCTAACAGCTTCCCCTTCGCACTGGGGTCTGGGGTGTGTGTGCATCTGCCTCCCAGACCCCGTCATTCGGGGAGGGCTGCTCCAGGATGGGGCAACTGGAGACCCAGCTGCAACCTTGGTGCTTCTGGGCCAGAAACTCTTGGGACAGTCCAGGAAATGTAAACGCAGCGGCAGAAACAGCAGCAGCAGCAGCAGCAGGGAAAAGGGCCTGTCTGCAGATGTCCCCAGGGCTTGTCCAGACGGGCTGTGCTGCTGTAAAATCCCAGGTCTCATTTGCTGCCTTTGTTTACATTCGTGGTGTTTCTATTGCTTTGTGCCATTTCTCCCCGTTTCATCCTAGAGAAAATCTGTTCTGGAGGTTAATGCTGGAGGGGCCCTACTATCTGGGCTGAATCCAGAGGTGCAGAGCTAACCCCGGGAGCAGCTACTGGGGGGGGGGAGGCAGAGGTCATGACGGGCTGCCTCTCCTTTGCACCCTTTCATGAAAAGTGATTGGAGGCTTTTGAAAGGCGGCTTTGTCCTCTAACGGAAGAGCACTGAAACTGAGCTTGTAAACACAAGTCACGAGGGACCTCCCAGCCAGGAGGAGAGGCCCCCCCACCCCACCCATTGTGACTTAGCGGGGAAAGCAATGTCATGGGGTGGGGGAGGGAGGCTTTGCTGCCTTTCTTCTGATTTGGGTAGGAATTCCTGAAACAAGACGGCTGAGCAGGATGAACTGGGATGCTCCTCAACTGGCACACAGCAGAACAAACAGACCCACAAAAAGCCGGATGGACACACCTGCTACTTATACAAATAGGGAAACAGATCACAAGCATACCCATTTTGGGGGGGGAGGGGGACAAGAAATGGAATGAGAAATGCGCATGGGGGGAAATTATAGCTCAATGCCCGTTTCCTAAAAAAATAAAAACGCTTTAAGGAAAGGAGATTTTTGCCCGTGTTATATCTGGCAAAATAACAAAACCAGCCAAGGGTCACTGGTTGGGTTTTTTTTGTGGCTCCCTAGACCAAGGCTGCCAAAGAGAGAAGCAGCCTGGAACTAAGGAGAAACTTCCTGACTGTTAGAACAATTCACCAGTGGAACAACCTGCCTCCAGAAGCGCTGAATGCTCCAACAGTGGAAGTTTTTAAGAAGAGACTGGACAGCCATTTGTCCGAAATGGTATAGGGTTTCCTGCCTGAGCAGGGGGTTGGACTA